AAGAAGGAGGCGATGGAGGTGGGGGCGGAGGAGCGTTCTTCTTTCTCCTCCCTCGGTGCCGGGCAGACGTAAACACCGCGGGGACCACGGGTGTGCTGAACGTTTACCGAAACGTTCGCAAATCACGATGGAATGCCGTCAGACTGGTGTTCCCGTGCGCGCCATACGGTGACATACAGAACGAAGCAACGACCCGTGCACTGTGCAGCGCTTACGTAAGGAAATAACGCGCGCGGAGACACCGGCCGGCCGGCAGGCAGGCAGGCAGGCAGGCAGGCCTGCCGGCCGGGCCACCTCGGACTCTGCTTCGTTTCGACCACTGTGCTCGCGTTCGCGCCGACTACGGTGCAGCCAGCCGCGTTTCAGACGGGAAGGGCTTTCAAATCTTTCATGGGATTGTCGTTTTCATTTTGGAATCTTACTGCGGACTATCGGCGGCTGATTCGTTTGGACGTTGGAGTTCTTTTGGCAACTGGAGAGAGAGAGACATCGATAGAGCTACCGTAGGGTTAAATTGATTATGGGGGTGCTAGCTTTTTGGGGTGGTAATGTAGGTTTTTTTAAGTATTGTTGCTAGAAATTGTAGCGAAAGATCTGTCTCGGCAGTTGATGGAATGAAGAATTGTTTGTGCTATTTGAGACAGAGTAAATTAAGTGAATTAGGTAGTTTGTCCGTAGAGGGTGATTTATTTACAAAGCTAAAATAAATGTTTAAGTTGTATATGTAGTAAGTTACTATAGTTTTTTGTTTATATCGTTTGTTTTCGTTCGTATGGATTATTTGAATTTCGTATGGATGTCATATTTTTATTTGTTTAGTAATGTATTGACATTTTCTAGTTCTGAAGCTTTTGTGAAACTTCACTGGTCAGTCTCTTCCCCTGTTTTTTATTATGAATGGAGCGCATTATTCTTAGTAGGCCGCCAAATATGTTAGAGCGGCCCTAAGTGTTGATGTTGGTATTGTTTGGGAAACGGGAGAGACATGTTATCTTTTGAGACACGAAAGAAGACGTGATCTTCGTGCGAATCCTATCGAGACTATCGGTGTATTTCCTGAAATTTCTTTGGAACAGTATATAACATAATAATTTGGAATAATTCACAGTAGAGATATGGAATTCTCCTGCTAATTTTAGAACCTTATTCGACCCTTCTGGTTCTGGTCTTTTGCAATGGAAATGGCGAAGTTTCTTTCTTCGGATAAAAAACGACCGGGGAAAGGTATAATGAAACGGATCCATCTTGGAATTTTTGGAAAGGATTTTCAAAGGAAACGTTAGTACGAGTTACCATATTCGATGATTACCAAAGGATTCCTTTGATCTCCTCCTCTTCCCACTTCGAATTTGTTCTCCGTGCTATCTGTACGCCATGCCGGGCGACGCGACTTTCGTTGAACTTTTGAAAACGAAGCACGCGTACGGCCTACGGCGGCGTTGAGCAACGGAATGTCTCCTCTCGTCCGTAATTGCGTTACGCAATTCACGCGTTCCATGCACTTCGGTTGTTCCCCGCTATGTATTTAGCAAACAACGACGAGAGCCGACGGTTACAGAACCCGTCGCGAACGTCGAGAGAGAACTCGCGGTCGGAAGTTCAACGAAACGGCTCGACAAATGTCGTAAACACCGAATGATTCACCTCAGAATTAAACGTTTTGAACACCGAACCGTTCATCTGAACGTTCCACGTGGAATTATTCTTTTGAATACCATTTTCGCTGCAAGACTTGTTTTTTAACTTTGTTCCATCGCTTCCCTAGCGAACCACTGGCTCGATCCGCGGAAACTAAAGTCACAGAAGCTGCTAATTTCAAATCTTGATGAATTTTGTCTCCAAATACCGTTTATATTTTCAACAGTTTTCGCGGCACTATTCTCACGTTTGAACTCATAGAAAATCACACGAATGTTAGCGGTGTCCATGTTTCAAAGAAACGATAAACAGTTATTACATACAACTCGGAAGAACTTTGCGAAAAGTTACTCCGATAATCGATAATGAAACTATTCAACAGGTTATATGAGAAACAAAGGAATACCAACGAGAACAGGAGTAGAAACATGTATGAGTAAGAAAAATCCATTTCATATCACACGACCTAATAATACCTAACGTAAACACGAAACGTTAGAGCAACGTTTACTCGATCCTTCCGAGAAATAAAGAACATTCGAAAGATTGCTCCGAAGACGCACCGAAGGACACAATCCCATAGATAAATACTTAGCCGCGACGGCGCTTTATTGTGAGGGCCAGGTCAGGAATGACCAGCATTTCCCCCCATAAACTTAGAAATTTCCGCTAATTGAACTCGTAAAGAATCCGGTTAATTTTCTCGGCGGTTCTCTCTTCGGCGAGCCGGGCCCCTGCGCGCCGATAATAGACCGGGCTCCGGAATAGATTAAGATCGGAACAACGGTGGCCGGAAAACGCTACCGGGAATCGCAGCGAAATTACACGGGCGTTCTTGCGAGAGTATCCGCGTTGAGCGCATTATACACGCCGCTACGCCACGCGTTTATTTCGATTTCAATGGAAATCGCGGGCCCGAGCACGCCAGAAATTTCTTTTCCGATTTTTTCGCCGATTTTCGTTTTCCTTTCTTTCTCTTTCGGAGACCTGGATTTTCGATCGAGAATTTGGAAGGATCACCGGTTTATAATTTTGGTATTGCAGATCTTTTCTGGAGCTTCTGGGAACGTTAACGCGCTGACTTTCGCGAGACTTTCGAGCGTTTCGTACAGATTACTGATTCTTTCGTAACAGTGATAAATGTTATCTCATTTGTATTTCCAATTCATTTTTCTTTGTAAAACACGTTTCAAGTAATGAAGATACTTGTGTTGGCAAGGCTAAAGACTTAAACGCAAATACATTCTTGATTGGCTGCGATGGGTTAACACGTTGTGCCATGCTCACCGATGACGGATGCTTCTGAATCGTTTGGAAATAATTATAACGCGTAAGACGATTGCCGTTGAATGCAAATGTTCGATAAAGTAAGTTGTTAACAGTGTAATGTAAGGATTGCGAGTAATTAATAACTGCTTCTAGTTATGTTTTCTACGAAAGATAAAAGATAAATATTGTAACTCAAACATTCCCCGTCACTCGTATGAAAACCTCTTCGATTCATGCGTGACGCATGAACATTTACATTTCATGCAATTTCCCTCGACAGCGTTCGCAAATCGGTTGACTCACACTTCGCCGGAATGTTAATAAAACCTGAATGTAACGTTCGAAAAATTCTTAACGAGTGTGATTAATGTTTGAACCGCACGATTGGCGATAATGCCCGAGAAACCTGAAACTCGGGAAAGAACACGCGCGGCCGGGAAAAGGGTTTGAAATTCGAACGATTGGTTCTCGAGAATGATATTTCTGGTAACAGCGTTTCAGTACGTCGCGAGATACGTCCCGAGGTAATTGGAAAACCGAGGGGAGAAGAGAATAGGTCCTAAAGCGAGCGAGCGCGCGGAAACGAGAAACAATGGCCGCGATGCTTTTTCCAGGGAACAGGGCCGCGAACCGTGTATCACCGCGGATGTGACTTCTTGCCCGCTGTTCCCTGTAATTAAATGAAATAATCGAGTCGCGGCGTTGCACCGTGCTCTCATTATAATGCCACGCGTTCCACGGACGAAACAAGTCTGTTCCCTTGGCGCGCCCGTGCGGAATACGAAACGCGCGGACGATAGAACGGGTCGTGTTCGTTCGGTGAAATATTAGGCTGTCCCGTGGGATAGCAATGTTATTACTAGACCGCGAATTCCTATACATTTATAGAGAATCCAAAAGTTGCAAACTGCACGGAGTTCACGCAATACGAAAATATTTATGATATATCCGAAGGGTTTTTGCAGTAGTATCTAGGAAAAGCTGTTTGTCAATTACATTTCTCTAATTATATTCTTAACGATTTAAACTTACATAAAGATTCGCAGTCTAGTGATTGCGAATCCACTTCGCTAAAATAATGTGCGACACGGCGAATGAAACCTGAAATAGGGTTGGTGCGATGATGGTAAATGGCACAATAATGACGCGCAGGGTGCGAAGTTAACCCTTTCAGGCCTGGTACACATAGCGTACACTGCTTTACTACTTCAATATCTGACGAAACATTCAAATAGTGATCGGCAACTATGTACATAGACTTGTT